ACTTTGAAGATGGATTTATAATACCTGTTCCATGGTCGTCTGCATTTGAGAGTGTATGTGCATGCATGTTTGTATGAAGCAGTTCAGGTGCAAGGGGCCTATAAAGATCATCCAGCTGCCTGGCCACCTCAGGGCTAACCAAGAGTCAAAGTGCATTATGAGCAGGACTATCCAAATGCCCCTTAACCTGTTCCTGTGATGACCCTTATGGAAAAAGTTTTTTACCTGGAAAAAAATGTCCCCATGAAGATTAATTATAGCTCACAGAGTTTTAGGGCATATCTAGTGTCTCTTAAATCAAGTGCAACCCGTTGTAAAGCTACATCAACTGGCTCTAAGCTAGCCTACCCAGAGGAGGGTAGCTATCTAGCCATGGTGATTCAACTTTTAGCAAAGAGTGAAAAACATTCTGAGGAGTAGCACTGACTAGTAAGTAGGTCAGGCAGATTTGAAATCCCCACAAACAACCTGAGAGAGGGAATAAAGGCAGGGTTAATTAAATTAGAAATATCAGTACACAGGAAGTATATGTGAATATCAAAGACAGCACAGAAATAACAGGAGGTTTTAAGTTACTGAAATGATTAGAAGAATGTAATAACATAAGATTTATCTTAAGAACAACAAAGCTACAGGATTCTGGGGAAAAATAAGTATGTATCCTTAAAGGACAAGTTGCCACAAGCAGTGACTTCACAAAGAAACAGAAGTGAGAGTGGTCAGTGAATTAAAAATAGGTTTAAGTGGAACAGGAACACAAAGCACATCCAGATATCTTCCTTCCAGCTTCATCCAGAAGCTTTTGTACGCAGCTTTTGCTCATTTTCAGATTCTTCACTATATCACTTGATTCATCCAAGACTGTTATATCTGTGAGACTGCAAGTATCACCAACTGACACTTGTTGCCCCCAATATGCTGAAATTCATATTTGTATCTACTGCAGGAAGTGGAATGATTACAAACTGGGATTTGGGAAGTTCCAGGGCAAGAATGATGAATACTGGCTGGGCAACGACCACATCTATGACCTGCTTGCTAGAGGTGCAAGTATTCTCCCTCCGCTGATGTTTCCAATTCACCTGAGATAGTTCCTCTAACAGGAGTCCACTTTGTGCTTAGGAGAGAGCTCATTAAAGATTGACCTGATGGACTGGCATGGGGAACGACGTTACGCAGTGTATGAAAACTTCCAGCTCACCAGTGAACAGGTAAGAAATGGAGAGAGCAATGACTTCTTGTTTTATCCACACAGCGTCAGCCTTCAGCATCAATCCTCTACTAAGTGCCACAGGCAGAGAAAGAGACAGGCAGATCTTTCATGTACTTCCATGTTTGCATTCTATCTGTAGACAGCAAACTACACAGTGCAGGGGCTGCACCTCTGAACCCCATGTGTAAGTACCCCACACACCCTGCGTGGACCAGTTCTAGTCCACCTCCATCGTTGCTCCACAAATGCATGCACTGTGTTCCATTTGCAATTACAGCTTTCTTATGAAAAGTTTTGAAAATAACCATTCTCCTTTTTTTTTTCTTTTTTTTTTTCCCCCATAAATAGAATTGGAATGTGATATGAGGAAAATTCCACATCACAGAAGTAATCATCCATCTCATATCAAATGTTTCTCAGAAATGTTAGCTGTACACAGACAGTTCTATCAAGAATTCTTAAGAGGACAGGTCTGTTAAACTAAAAATCAGATGACTTGTAGGTCTTAGAGGAGAGAAAATGCTACAGGGCTTGTTGTAGTTGAACCATGACCAGTTTATGAAAACATCTGCTTGGCACAGTTTCCTGCAACAGATGTTGTGACCAATGAGCCAGGCAGAGCTTTCCAGCTTGTTGCATAGTGTGTCAAATGATTCATGGAAATCAATAAAACCTGAAGCCCTTTGTGTCAGTGCTAGAATAATAGAAAGGCTACTAAAATGATGAAGAGACTGGAACACTGCTCATATGAGGCAAGGCTGGGGGAGCTGGGCCTGCTCAGCTTAGAGAAGAGAGGGCTCGGGAGGGAACTTATCCATGTGTATAAATACCTGGAAGGAGGGTGCCAGGAGGATGGGGTGAACTCTTCTCAGTCGTTCCCAGTGATAGAATGAGAGGCAGTGGACAGAAACTGAAACATGGGAAGCTCCATCAGTACACAAGGAAAAACTTCTTACTGCATGGCTGACAGAGCACTGGTACAAGTTGCCCAGAATGTATGTGGGGTCTCCTTACCTAAAGATATTCAAAAGCTGTGTGGACACACATAACATGCCATAGGGAGCCTGCTTAAGCAGGGGCCAGAGGGCCTCCAGATGCCTCTTTCTACCTCAACCATTCTGATATTCTGTAAATCGTAAGGCCAAAAGTCACCTGTGGCTTCAACAGCCACTTATTTGACAGGGGATACAATGGAGAAAATTTGATATCTCAAAAATAAGAGCTGATATCAAAGACACATTTCACATCCCGTTGCAGGACAACTACAGGTTGTGGTTTGGCACCTACTCTGGTAATGCCGGTGACGCTCTGTCTGGTGGAAGCAGTTTTGAAGATCAGTGGTCAGCCTCTCACAGAGGAATGCAGTTCACCACATCTGACAAGGATCACGATCGATTCCTGGCAGGCAACTGTGCATTGGAAAGCAGTGGTGGTTGGTGGTTTAACAGGTATGGAAAACAGTTGATTCTACTCAGCCTTTGGAACTACGAACAGGGTGTGGGTGGCAGTTCTGCCAAGAGTACCTGCCTGCCTTGCAGCAGATGGAGGTTGCTGTTGGCACACGCCACCTCTCACAGCTAAATCTGACATGTTCATACCAACAGGAAAACAATCTGCTACTTTTGTTATGAAGCCAAGCAGGTCAGTTGAATTCAGTTTAAGAAAATAGGCCAGAATAAAAGTACAGGGGGAATGACTTGGAAGAAGAGCCTGACTGAAAATTCCTTGGAAGTGCTTTGGGTTATATGCTAAGAAAGAAAATAGTCATAGACACTGCAAGAGGAAGAATGCAAAAGTATTTTTATGGCACTTGTAAAGGGGGACATGCTGCTCCTTACTCTTCCTGGTGATATGTTTTCCATTTGGGTATGCCCACAAAAAGCAGATAGAGTTCACCAGCCTCAGGAGCATAGACATCCCACCATCAGGAGTTTTCCTACACTTTGGCACAGGACAAACCTCTTTTTTGTTTAGTCTAAGCCCCCACTGCATACAATTTGAAGTCAATGGAGCTACAAAAGTGTACATCAATACCTAGATTCAAAGACATCTGCATTTTTAGGTGTTAATACATAGTTACCCACACTTGAGCTGAAGCAAACCACAGACCTCTCTGCGTTCAGGGAAATGAATCACGTCCCTGGTCAGTACATTCAAAGCAGCCAGCAGGTTGTGTTATCTGACCAGAGTAGTTGTTTACTTTAGGATGACCCACATACTTCTCTTGGCTCCACTGACTGCATTAACCAGTTCTCCATAGGTAGTAGTAGGATATCACATCTAGTTTATCACAGGTGTGTCCAGTGTCTGAACCTGTCAATGAATCCCACCCATGGTATTTCCAAACGTCTGTTGTGTGAAAGTTGTACCTTGTTATAACGCAACATCTTCCCAGGCTCAACACGATCTCCTTTTTCCCTCCCCTACATTATTGTTCCAAGGTGCCACGCTGTAAATCTCAATGGACGTTACTACACAACAGGGAGGTACAACGGATCCCACGACGATGGCATTGTTTGGGCTACGTGGCACGGGATGTGGTACTCGCTCAAATTCTCGGCCATGAAAATCAGGTCTCCGTTCTTTGTTGACAGCGAGAGCGGAGATGGTGAGGATGGTCAGGGCAGCTGAAATCTGCTGCTTTGAAAAGTGAAAAAGAATGGGATGAGTTCTGTACAGTAATAGCCAACTTGCTGCTGCTGCCAACTGTCAAAACTGCACTGCAGTAACTGTAGTTGCAGCTGTTTCTACTAGCTGAGCTGTGAGTTGTTTGAGCACAGCCAGTCAACAATCAAATGAAAAATGTAGAGAAGAACACAGCTTCCTTTTTCAGCAGTTTTTGGGACTTCACTGCAGAGTGTTTCTGAAAAGCTCTCTGGATCCTGAATGATCAAGCACGTTCTTTTAGCTACCTGTACTCCTCAAGGGTAAGTCTTTCTCATCTTGATTGTGATGGTCAGTGCCTGAGAACATGATAACAGAAACAGTGAAGTGATAAGGAATTGGACTTCATCTGGTGTGCCCTCATTAGAGCTTTGATTTGGATTAGCAGCATGTTTTTAAGCAACTCTCTATTGTCACCAATTGCTACACTTCAGTTTCAGAACACACCTAGAACGTGAAACCAAGCCAGCAGATGGATGTGCTCCAACAGCTAATCAGCAACCTGACTACTTTCAAGTAAGACTACTTCAAAGTAAGCCCCCACAGCATGGGCAGTGTTGATGCTGCATTTCACTGCCCCCAGCTTTGCTATGCAGAGCCACTTCTACAGCATATGGGGCATGCTAATGCAATCATAGACAATGCTGGTAACTATATTTAAGTCTAGATTTAAATGAGGCAGATTTTATTAAATTTAAGATTAGAACAGATACCCTTGGGAGTTCATAAAATGCAATCATGATCCATCTCTATGGTCTCATGCAATTTACCAGACCACTTTAGAATTACTGAATCATAGAACTGTTAGAGTTGGAAGGGACCCCCAATGGCCATCTGGGCCAACTCCCCTGCAATGAACAGGGACACCTACAGCTCCATCAGGTGCTTGGAGCTCCGTCCAGCCTCACCTTGGGTGACTCCAGGGATGGGACAACCACCACCTCTCTGGGCAACCTGTGCCACTGCCTCACTAAGCCTATTGTAAGACTTTTTCTTTAGCAAAGGGGAATTAGAATGCAGAAAGGGATTGAAACATAAGGCACAGTGCATTCATTATCTCATCTGACTGAAATAAAAGAGCGTAAATGACTGAAACAGAATACTGAAAATTTATTTTCCACAAGTTGTTGAGAACAAGAAGTCAAAATGAACAGTATTATCAACTTGATGCAAATCATTTAACTACTGTGTTGTAGGATGAGCCTTTTTGTTTTTTCTGAATTACAATTTTTTTAAACAGGTTATTTTTCATTTATTTGCTTTTAGAACAATACATGTTATAATTTGTATTATATAGCCATAAGTGTGAAATAAAACCATCTGAGTAGCACTTAACACTTTGTATCTGTTTTTAAACAGTAGGGATTTGAACAGAAGTTTGGATGAGAAAGCACATAATGCAGGAATTTCATTATTTTGTTATCTCTGGCACTTAGGTACCTCCTGTCCTGGGTAGTTCAGAGGGGTCTGCAAAGTAAATCCAATTTTTATGTCTCAGGCTGTCCTGGAGACAATGCAGAGACGTATGAATAGTCAGTGTATAATTTGGTTTGATTCCCCTGCTTTTTCAGGAGGTAATTCCTGTTCTCACTTGTTCTAGACACCCCAATGATTGCAAAAGTGAATGCCTACGTGCAGTGGGCTGGTGCTCCAGGGAGACGTTCTCCTGAAGTCCATGCCTTGATGAGACCACATCACTGTCCTCTTCCCAAGAACTGGTGTGGGTCCACGTGGAAAAACCTGCACTTGTATGTCTGCAGTGAGCTTGTCCTTGTGAAGAAAGACCTGCTAACAACCAGCACTTAGTATATCATTTTATGGAATCATGGAATTGTAGAATAGTTTGATCCTTAAAGATCATCTATTCCAACTCCTCAACTGATCCCTTCTGCATTTTACAATGGTAAAATCAGTGCAAAGCTTTAACTGTATATTGAGAACATAAGAAATCCCTTTGCATATCGTATAATGAGGCAGCCAGTGGTGTGGTATCAAGAGCATGAAGGACAATTTTTGTTTAGGCAGAAGACACGGAGAAATGTGAACAACTTCAGGTTTTGTTAAGGCCTTCTAGCAGGCATATGATGCTCAGCCTTCATTCTTCAGGTCTAGGGAAGCAGAGTAAAGACTCAACTGGTGAAACTCAACTCTGCATGCTGGAAATCAGCAAAAAGCTACCAAAGGGCCAGCATTAGTGGTTTGACAGATTGCTGAGCAGCCAATAACACCCATCTGATGCCAAACAACCAAGCAGAAGCAGTCAACAGGGCTTACTCTGACAGCTGTTACCCAGTCCAATCCTCCAATAGCCATAAAGCCTCAGGAGTCCATTATCCAAAGCCATTATAGTTGGACTGCCTTCAGTCTGCACTGGTATTTTGCTGCTTTTCTCAGGCAGAAAATGGGGTCAAGATCTGTCAGCTTGGGATGGAAGGGAGTCTGGTTCATTCACTGGTGCTTTAGATTTGTGATGTCCACCGCATGCACTGCAGTCACCGGAGGGAGCCTGACGTTGAGAAGAGGCTGCAGAAAGCCTTAAGGCCAAGTTGGTTGGGGCCCTGGACAACCTGATCTGCTACTTGGTCTAGTGGCTGGCAGCCCTGCCTGTGGCAGGCCTGTTGGAACTTACTGATCCTTGAGTTCCCTTCTAACCCAAGCCATTCTGTGATGCTATGAAAGCAGCAACTGGCTTAGAGCAAAGCTGCCTCTTTCTTGTGCTGGGAGCCCCTTGGAGACACAAGAGTCACAAGGCTTTGAGCAGGACCCCACAGCACCTAAAGCAAACCCTACTGAGTGTTTCAGAACCCTTTTAATCTTAATAAATACCGTAAAATGACACTAAACAAGTACTAGTTTGATCTGAGGACTACTGTCAAGCTCAAATACCTCCCACTGAAGGTTTTATTAAGGCTTCCTGAGCGTTTTTGTGCAGTACATTTGATCATCCATTTCTCCAGGGTCTCCTGCCTTACGAGACTGTAAATATATCTCGCAGCACTGTAGCTCTGAAGCTGATGGATCACTGCTTCAGGGCAAATGCGCTTCGCACAGCCAAGTTTACCTTAGCACAGGGGTGGTAAGTGAGCTAAGAGGTAATTGCTCTAGAGACCTGGTTTCCAGCTCATTTAAGTCAATTTAAAGACCGGTTACGTTTGATTAGCTTTGGATTGGTCCTCAAGTGTGGACATGTTCTGAGCTGCTGTAAGCAGCATACTGAGCTGACAGCTGATGGGAACACGTCGCCGTGCTGGAGCAGCTCTGGGAAGAGGCTGCACTCAGCACACTGACACTTAGGGCCCGAGCTCCAGCAGCAGCTGCAAAATGTTCCATCGGCTGTAGAGCCCAACTCCTGCAGCCAAATGCTGACATCCTGCCTCCTCCCAGCACAGCGAGCCCTGCCATACAGATCAGGCTGCTTATGGGGGTGTTTGAAGACTGACAGTTCTCTGCCTGAACCCACCTTCTCTCATCCCATCCTCTGCTGCCAGCATCTTTTCTTTCCTTGCTTACGCCCAGCAGCGCTCCCCTTGTCCCTGCAGACTCTGAAGAGGCGGCTGCTCCAACGAACGCCAAGCAAACACCCTGAGTCATTCTCGCTGGCCCGAGCTCTGTCTCTGCTGTCAGTCAGGGTTTCAACCCAGCTCTGAATTCCTGCAGCACTGTGTAATCACAATTCATAATTCCTGATTTTAAAGCATGAAAAAGAAAACACCGATGTAACTTTTGCATTTCACCTCCAAGTTCTCTGGGAATCGACAGATGTTGACAAGCCTTTTTCCTTTTGATTTGCAAACCAGGTATTTACCAAATAAATGTGTTCTTCGCAGGGTTTGTCCATAATTTATTTTGAACTTGCTGCAGTAGTATTACTGTCGTTTAATCGACACAGAAAATAAACCACTCAATAAAGGCAATGATGATCACAGAATGGGCGGGTGGTCAGACGGCTCCCACTGCCCACTATGGCTATTCAAGCACTCCACTAAGGTTTCTGAGGGCTACAACTTAACACTTTTCTTTGCCCCTCCCATCAGCATGCTCTTTTTTTACTATCTCCTGCAAATATCTGCACATCACCGTATTTTTTTGCTACAATTACTGGCAGAAAGAGAACATCAAAGCACTGAATGATGAAAAATACCCCCTCCATTTTCTCTCCAAATGTGCAGTATGCACTGCTTGCACTTTCACCCAACCAGCAAAGAGAAGCACCAACACATGACATATTTCAGCAATTGCAACCAATCAACACAGCTCAATAATGACCACAAAAAATGATGGAAATCGCTTGCAGCTTGGGGTTTGTGCTTCCTAAATGGGAAATGATTCACTAATTAGGACAGATGTCTGGAAAACGGATCTCTTAGGACATCATCATCTACTAGTAGAAGGTTTTCATGAGACGAAAATGTCTAGATCAATGGGCTTCATGATGTCTGAAGCATGAAAGCTGACTGCTTTATGCAACAAAACCCAGTGGATCGCTCCTGTGTCACGCCTTCACTAACATGAGCTTTCCCAGGGTATCCTGTGTGTATTTTCAGACACACACATACAAAAAATAATTATATGAAAGCACTTTCTAGTCATTATATAGGAATGCGTTCCCACAAGTCAGACTTTGGGATTTCCCTCCTTCTCCAAGCGGAAGAACATAATTCCCACTGCTCCTCTCAGCAGAATCCAGCAGATGTTGCAGACCCGCTCCTGCACACCCCCCTCCTATGCGGTTGCACTGAGTCCCTCAGATCACAAGCTTCTCAATACTTAAAGTACTCCTTTCGTCCTCTTCGTTTGAGCCAAAATACCCAGGGAGATCGATCATTTGCTGCTCCGCCTCCGTTAAGCCAAAGGTGGTATTATCGTAGAAGGCAAATTCAGGGTCCACCGGGAAGCTCTGGCACTTGTCCTTTCGGTACTGGGCAGGGCTTACAGCGAGGCCTCTCTGGTAACTCTCTTTGCCAGCGGAGCTCGTTTCCTTCCGCCAGGCACCTTTGGGGTTAGGTGAAGAGCCCCGCTTACTCCTGCTGGGCTCAGGCTTTTCAGGGGCCCTGTCCTGACTGGCATGTTGGCGATCGGCGATCAGATCCAGCTTCTTCACAGGCGGACATGGCCTGTGGTGGCCTTTTGTGCCATGTTCACACATCGGCGCGGCGCCGTGGGGTTGATCCAGCTTTTCAGAGGTTGGGTTTGGGTTCCTCGGTTTTGGCCGCGTCCTGTCTTCCAAGCACTGGTCCCACATCCTGGTCCTCGAGGTATACAGAGGAGTCTGCCGGGGGGTGAGGGTGGACATGCTTCTCTCTCTAAAAGGCCTGGCCTTCTTTGTTTCGTGAAAGCTGGCTGTTCTTCTAAACTGAGGGTTTCTGTGGCAGCCCCTCTCGGACAACTCACCTCTGTTATCCGGGTGTTTGAAATGAGCTCTTCTTGTCAAGGTCTGCGTGGGGCTCAATGCAGCACCGGCCTGGGAGAATGGAAAATCCAGCCTCGGGTTACAGCCTTCTCCTAGGAATTTGGGCTGACCGGCCGGCTGGTCCAGAAACGGAGATTTGATCCTGAATTTGTTGGCCACTCCCTCCTCTTGGGTTTCTGCACTCAGGGGAAGCATCGTGGTGGCACCAACAACCGTGTCCGTGAGGGGGTTCTGAGAGACGTGGTACACCTTGGTGGTCTCAGTCAGGCCCTTCTTCTTCATCTCTTTCAGCTGCTGCTGTGCGAGGCGGTAGCTGAATATCGGAGGGATTATTTTTTGGGCGTTTGGCTGAAAGTTCTCGCTTCCAGAGGCATCGTCTTCTTGGGCAAACTGAAGGCTTCGCCTGTAGGTCAGAGGAATGTGAACAGGGGCATCCCCTACTTCAGTGAAGCTGTCCCGCTGCTTGTTGCCCTGGCAGATGTTCTCCTCGTCAGAGTTTTTTCGGAAGCCAGGGGAATGGACGGAGTTCCGATGCACGGCTGTGCTGCACTTCTGAGCTCTGCAGAGCTTTCTCCACAGGGTGATGAGAACAGTGGCAAAGATGATGAACAGGCACAAGGAGATACCTGTGATGGTGACTATGTTGTTTGCTTTCTGGTCCTCTCCTGGCTGGACAGAAGGTGGGGTGGGAGGCTTGACAGCTGTAACAAAGAGCACAGTCTGTCACCAGAGTTACATTTGTCAACAGAAGTTGGTATTTTAGAATGGATACTTCAATAGAGTAACTAATTAATACAGTACAGTAATGGTCTGCCTATACGATTTGCTCACTGCAGATGACTGACTGCAGATGGCTCACTTCAAAGTGGCAGGAACAGATCTACTTACTTTCAATCAAGGGACCCACAGATCATTCAAATGTAATTGTCACCTTTGCCTGTTCTGCTCTTTCCAAAAGACACTCCTAAATAAGTGTAAAACAGGATGATAATACTTGCCCTCTTTTATAAAGTACATCAAGATCACCTGCTGAAAAGTAATGCAAAGGAGTAAAAATAACAGGAGAGTAGTACAGGCATCACTTTAACATTATTTTTAGGGTGACTTAAGGGGTGTGAAAATTATTAACTTGTGAGCCCTGCAGATTGAAGAGAGACAGCACTAACAGAGCAGTCCTTTGCAGGTGCTTCTTCCACTTCCCAGTGTTGTCAACCACACAAGACAAAGTCTTCCCCCTACACGGCAGGTTCCTAAATGAGGTTCCATTGCTCTGCTGCCATGTCTATACTGGCATTAAAACTTCTGTTGTGAACTGGAGATGGACCTTCAAAAAGTGAAAAATACTAACTGAAATACAAACATCTCAAAGATTTCCATAGCATTTAAACTTCCTTCCTGAAGGTTACATTGCAACACTGAACCACTGAGAGAGAAGTAACTCTTGTTTTGGACAAGGTCTCCAGCATTTCAGTGGCATCCCCAAGCAGAAAACAGCATAACTGAAAGCATGTAAACTGTTCCAGCAGACAGCACTCATTTCCTAATTCATTACAGCCAAACGTCTTCATAAGGCCAAGAAAATGCTGCTGGAGGACAAAGCTGCTCCGTTGTGGTGGTCAAGAGCTGGCCATGAAGCTGTGAACACAGACTGAACCACTTAAAGCTTTGCCCCAGTTTCTAGTTTGATCCAGGACCCAGAGCCTTGCATCAAAGCCATGGACAGTCTGTTGTAAATCTGGCCATGCCTGCCTCGCAGTGACTGTCCACCATGCAAAACGTGTGTAGAATAATGAGAGGCAGACACCAGTCTGAATGTACTGCCTAAAACCCAGAAAAACGCTCATTCAGCAGCAAGCTATTAAGTGTGCAAGATGTACAAATGCACAGGCAAACACAGCCTAGAAGGTCTCAGGCTGCTACAATAATGGATGTGCAGGGTGCTGGAGGCCCATTTCTTTGACTCAGAGCTGCAATGGCAGCCCGAAAACCTTTGAAAAATCCTGCTGTGAACTAAACTTTGATCTTCATACCACACTGAGAGCTTAATATCAGCACGAGGAACAGCAGCACTGCCTGTTGAATGTTTCTGAGGATCCCTAAAACCTACACTCAGCCCAGCACCACCACACCCAGGGCACAGAGCACTGCTGTTCTGATCCCAGCAGAGAAAGCAGGACCTGCATTTGACCTGGTCATTAGCACTGGTGCAGAGTAATTCATCTATTGCTCATCCTTTTCTCAGTTTCATTTTGCTCAGTTTCTAAATACTCCGTTTTCTATCTGTAATGTGCATTGTGCTATAACATTTGGATTATGCAACTAGCAGGTAGCAAACAGTGACGTTTGAAACAGGGTTAAGTTACCAGGGTTTGCTTCTCTCTCCACTTATTCAGCCATTTGCTCCATCTGCTGGACTGCTTACTGCAGACACGGTCATGCTGGAATTGCTCTGGGCAAGTGTGGGCAGCCGAGGGAGAGACGATCCCAGGCTGAGATCAGACAGCTTTAGAAGACAAGCTAGCCCCTGGTGTCACTACTGCCCTCAGCAGTCTGAAGGAGATCGGCACAGAGAAGGTGACGGCCCCTAGAGCAGGCCATTAGCTTCAAACTGTGGCCCTCTGAGTTGTTCCCCTCTTCTTACACTTGCAGCTTTACAATATAAGAAAATCCACAGAGACAGCCTTATCTGGTGATTAAAAACATTAGAAACCTTAACAACAAACTCCTAAAATGAAGACTGACAAAATGCAAAACCTGGCTATATGGAATACCATTTGTAATGATATTTATATTTTAATATTTTCCTTTTCCTTTCACCTGACCTTTTGCTCAACACCATTTCTTACAATGCTCCACAATGCATTTCTTTCCTACCTTCTAGAAACAATATAGTAATGTTCAACAAACCTTCTGAAGCTGGTTCAAGCCAATGCTCTCATCGAAAAAGCAGTCCTGCATTTTCCTGCTGTGGCTACATATTTTCTCCCTCTGCTGTTCTTCCATCTTCAGTGGCACAGGCACTGCAATGTCCATGTGCTATGCAACTTACAAAAGCCCCAGACTACCCACTTTTTAGCTGGATCCACTCCAGTTCTCCGCGCTACATTTCTGCCAGCAGAAGGGATTAAGTGGCACGGAAGCAGCCAAGGCAAGCAGTAAGGCATTGCTCGCTTTATAATAGCACAGAGATAGATAGTTTATAGCTGTAATCTGTTAAATTATAGCCTAAGAGCCCAGGAGCTTGCATGGCCCTGTGAGCCCCTCTTTACCCATCCCTGCCGGGCAGTGGCACCTATGGGACATGAGGACATTGCATCTCCTACATCAGCCAGGTTCTGAGCAGACAGACCTCCAATCTCTCCCATCAAAGCAGAGACAATTTGAAAGTTGATTATGAAGCAGCACAAGAAACAGAAATATGGCAGAGTTCCATACTCTGTTAAAACCACAAGGTCCCATGCAGGTGGCACTGGAGAACTTCCCAACACCCACTACTGCAGGTTCATGAATCCCAGCATACTGCACATTTTATGTATGACATACATCTCCAGCTCTTTTACAGGTATCTTCGTTGTGGCAGTAGATTTTTCCACACCTTTCCAAAGGACTTAAAAAATAAATAATTCCTCCAGTTGCAAGCCAGAAAATTACCTTTTTAATAGATTTCCATTGCCTACAGTCTTTGAGATATTGTACCAGATATAGAATCATAGAATTGCTCAGGTTGGAAAAGACCTTAATGATCATCAAGTCCAACCACAACCATACTACCCTAACTACCAACCCTCCACTAAATCATGTCCCTGAGCACCACATCCAAATGTTTTTTAAACCATCCAGGGATGGTGACTCAACCACCTCCCTGGGAAGCCTATTCCAGTGCTTAACCCTTTCTCTAAAGAAATGTTTCCTGATATCCAACCTAGAAACTAATCTCCCCTGGCTGCTGCTCCCCTTGCACAACTTGAGGCCATCTCCCCTCGTCCTGTCATCTGTCACCAGTGAGAAGAGACCAACCCCGCCCTTGCTTCCCTGTTCCCCTGGCCCTGAGATCTTTCCTGCAGTCCTTCCCTAAACCCTCAGCCATGTGGAGATTTTCATAGAATCACAGTGTCTTTACGGCTGGAAAAGACCACTGAGGTCATCCAGTCCAACCATCAACCCATCACCACCATGCCCACTAAACATGTCCCTAAAACTCACGTTTTAAACCATTTCCGTAGCATCCCCAGCACGCAGAAGTCTTGGAGCCCTATCTCCAGCTGTCCCACAAACACAGGTATGCTCCTGTCAACCACAGAAATGTGACATCCCTCCATAAATCAGTAGGACTGAAGGAGAGTTTGGACACTTCCATTTTACAAAGCCCTCCTAACTATACGTTGCTGGCTTTTGCAACATGAGACCACGGGAAGAGGAGAGCAGAGCTACGTACTCAGACACTCCTCTAGCGAGCACAAGGAGGTCTCCTTTGGGGAGCCAGCACAGCCTGGTTTCACAGGTGAGGAGGTGAGGCACTCTCGGAAGCGCTCCCGGATGCCGTCTCCACAGGTGACGCTGCAGGGGCTCCAGGGCTGCCACGGGCTCCATGTTTCTGCAAACACACAAGCTCACAGCAATGAGAAACACATCTACCTCCTTGTCCATATGGAGAAAGGCATTTAACTATCCTCTGTTATTTAAGAAGAGCAATAAATAACCTAACAATGCAAACTGCAACACCAAAAGAGCAGGCAGCATCCAGGGACTTGCTCCCGTTCCCACCAGCTTGGGGCAAAGCTCCCATTTTTGCTTTCCTTTCTTTGCCCCACGCTATGCAGCACTCAGCTAACTGAGGCTGGCAAGAGCTGTCTGGAACAACAGCAAATAGAAATTAATCCACAAATCTTTTTTAATGGCTTAGTAATTTATATATTCATGAGTCCAATTCCTACCTGGCAAATACTGCTTTTACAGCAGGCTAACTTCATTGACTTAAGTGTAGTTACTCCTGATTTATATAATTGTGAAAGGACAAGAAGCCTATGAGGCCTAATGAAAAGGCAATATTGTTTTTCCTCTTTATGATCCTCTTAGCACACAAACATGTTACTGAATCACTCATCTGACAGCTTTACAGATCCCTGTTGTTTTATTTCTCGTGCTTCAGCCATTAATGCAAGATGAGATTCTGCAGGTTTATTTATTTTGTTTAAGTGGAGGCAGGCTCAGGTTCTAATGCTAACTCAATACTTAAATGCAATCCCTTTCTTGCTAAGGTAACATCCTCATCCAGTGCTCAACACCCAAACTCTATAGCAGTGAGGACCCCGAGACAGAAAGGGACCATTTCTGACTTCCAGTTCCAAAATAACAGATGAGTCCAAGTGCAGTCCTTAAGGATGAGTACTCTGGGGACTGTCTGATTGGTCAGTTGACTCGATACCTGTCTTTAAAATGCATTAGGAAGAAAAACAACAGAGCAATTACTCCATCTCCCTGCTCAGAGATAAAACAGAAAATCAGATAAATTACAAAAAGCAAATTGGATTTGTTAAAGCCTGCTCTTTTAAATAATTTATGGTTGCTAGTGCCAACCCAGGTCATGATATTTAATTTTCTTACACAGTTGCTCTGCTGCTGGAATGCCTCAGCGCTCCTCATCAGTGAACAACATCCAGTGCTGCACAACTGTCATGCTTTGTGACTGGAAATGGCTTTGTGATTTCATGCTATATCCATGCATGCTGCAGTACATCTGCACGCCCTTGTGGAGCATGGGGGGGGGAACACTGAGGGGCCTGGTGGCACTGTGCTCCAGGTCCATGTGAAGTCAAAGGATCTCTGTATTTGCCTCCAACCCTACAGCAGCAATGAGATATTCACGGTCCAAAGCTTGAACAAACACACCCTGGCCCCACCAGCTATGAGCTGGTATCAGTGAAGGAAGCAGGAAAGCATGGCCATCATCAATAGTCAAACAGTCCCTCCTCCAATGCACTTCATGGTGTCATAGTACCTTGGGGTCTCAGGACGTTTTTCTTGATGTCAGTGTCACGAAGGACCCCAGCAGTGTCCCACCACTGGCAGAAGAAGGGGGACGAGCAGGAGAAGCACAAAGTTCCTTGCAGATCAATTTATGTAAGCAGCTTGACAAATCAGTCCCACCATTTCCAGTGCATGAGCTCCCTTGTTTCCCTATCTCCACACTCCCTGCTCGTTTTAGCTTCTGCTAATAACAGCCAGATTGAGGGCCAGATCCAGAAAGGTTCTGGCTGCTTCCAGCGCTGCCACTTGTTATACTGGAGGGTGCTCAACATTTGAGGCCCCCGTCAACTGGAGGGGCCTCTACATTTGAGCCTGCGAGCTTCAATGTACAAAACATTTAGGATGGGTAATTTTCTAATTCTAATGTCAAACCCAGGACGTGCCCATTGCTTTCAGGCTCTTTTCACAGAGTTCAGCTTCAGCTGAGGGCATGGAGTTCCTTAGCTGGAACACTTGGCATCCATAGCTCTGGGGCTACGAATGTGTGCCTGCAGCAGCAGGAGAGCAGGAAGCGCTCCAGCCCCTGTGAGAGACAGAGAGTTAAACCCTGCAAGTTGCTCTGCAACCTCCTGCAATTACCAGAATGCAAAAGAAAATGAAGCAGAGTTTATTCTCCCCCAAGGAAACAAAATAATTAACCTCCATTTAAGACAAACAGATCCAAAGCGCCAGGGGAAAAACCAGAAGGTATGCAGTGCAAACTAGCGCTAATAAGTGTGAATTCTTTCTATACGCATTTGAGGAATCAATTATCAACATGAAGACATCTCATTGATGAGTTAGTATGAAATAGCTGACAGTTGGCAGATCTGTCGACATGAAAGATAAACTTAATTAACTGTGTTAATTGTTGCTCTGCTGAAGTATTTCCCCTCCAACTTCTGTATTTCATCCTCATTCTGTGAGACTGTGTGTCTGTGATGCCATCCAACAGCAGAGCCAGCGAGGAATGCTCTGCATCACCTTCCCAGCCTCCCATGTACGACTGTCCTGAGCTCTCCAGCAAGACCAGTAATATGGGATAAAATCACTATTTATAGGTTCACGCAAATGCCTCTGCTAGCATGGGGGAGTGCAGGCTACTTGTGAAAGCTGAGATCAGTTTCCAGGTCTTGAGACCAGGCGCAGTGATGTTTGGATGAGACCTGGGAAAACATTCCTCTCACCCATCCTGTGCTTCTCTATGGGAATAAAACCCGGGTGAGCTGACATAGTGGCATGCTCCAACAAGCTTCTAATTTGGACAATGAAAGGACGATGATCCCTGTAAAAGAAGAAAACCTAGACTGTGCCTGGGCTAATTACAGACTTTTCCCCACAAACCAGCACCTTTAAGAACTGCAGGAGCATTGCCTAAAATCTTTTCTCAGAAGCTCAGAGCTATCCCTGCGACTCCACAACACCTGATGTATTCTTAAAATGCTGGGGATATGGAGATGTAGAACTCAATGGCGTAAGAGAAGTCGACTGGGGCACAAACTGTGCTTCCCCAAATTAGTCTGTTTCTAAATAAATGCAAACCAAAGAGCAATTCAGGCAACAGAGCTAATTGGTTCCCAGATCTTCTTACAGATAACTGGCAGGTCTGATTCATACGACTTTACTCAGGCAGCAAGAAGTTGATGGGAGTCTTGTATCCTTGCCTGACTCCTGGATACTCCACTTACGCCCTGTTTCCCAACTACTGCTCCCTTCAGAAGGTCTTTTCCCACCTTCTGTTTTCCCTTTGAGAGCAACATCTGTACTTCTTGTGCCCTGGGGGCCCCCCAGCAGCTTCTTTGGATAGTTGGAAGAAGTCAGATGTCAGAGAAGGTAACAAAACTCATCCCAATAAAGGCAATAAGCTCCACTAGGACTTAGATCAGAGTTGAAACTGGCCTCAGAAGTGTAGCTAAGAACTGTAAAAAAAAATTAATTAACACTGGAAATACACAAAAAGCAAGTTCCTTTCTATGCTGCAGCACTACTGATTAATTTTATCAGGCATCCCAAACGACTCCAGCTTGACAATGGCTAGATCTAGGATGTCTTCCTAAGGAGAGCAGAAGTCTCACTGCTGGGGTCTCAGAGTCTAAGCATGTAAAGCACAGGATAACACACTGAAATGAATGAGCCTACAGCACTTCTGCTGCTGGGTAAAATCATCTAGCACTTTTCTTTCTCAGACATTCAGACAATTCCGTCAGATGCAGGGAACTCTGCATGGCTCTCTCTAAGTCATCTGTGGGAAACAGTTAGCACCCCACTGAGATGAATTAAGTGACTCACATCTCTCCTATTTTTTCACAGGTTCTCCAGCTGGAGTCTACAGAAAGTTTCACAAGCACTGGCTCACATCTGATAGACATTCTCCCCACATCTAATAGGTAAGATTCAGAGTCTTGGAAAGCAGAGGCTTTTTTGTGACACTTGCTCTGAAGCTGACGGCTCCTGCTGGGAGAGCTGTTGCTCTCTATGGGTCATCAGAAACCTTGTCCCTACTGCAGGCACAAAGCAGACAGACTCCTGCTCCTGCTCCCGAGCCCTGCCAAGGATGAGGAGTAATGAGATGGATGGAAGAAGGGTCAGGAACACAACTGATGCATGACCTATGGAAAATGGGTAGTTGCAAAATAAACTATATCTCATCTTCTGCGGTTTGGATGAAGATAGCTTTAATGATTTCAGATATTTCATCTTTTACAAGACAATACCTTTGTTTCATAATAATAGACTGTATTCTAAATGGAGTAAGAACTGGCTGAGCGACAGATTTGATATGCAGTTGTCAACAGAAAATCATCACCGAGTGGGAATGCATTTGGAGAGATTTCAAAGGAATTAGTATAATGCTTTGTTCTGTACAACGCTTGCCTCAGTGACAGGAAAGTAAATATAAAATCGTTAATGAGAAAGTATGTCACTACTGTGATGACATAAGTACATAGTGCATGGGGCAATGGAGGTTGCCAGCTAAGTTGTAAAATCAGCAAAATGCAAAACGTAGGCAGAAAGCACAGAGATTGTAGAATGGTAGATTGTAACTGAGAGGTCACATGCAAGAGCAGCTCGGGAGGCGTTTGTAGGGTCAAAGCCAATGCCATCTGTGGAATTAAAAACTGAGGAGCAATAAGTCAGGGTAAGGAGAGCGGTGCTGCTCAAACGGCATCGGTGAGGAGGATGTTAGAAGGCACCAAAGTCGGTGTCTATGTAGTGAAATTAAAAGTACTGTTAAAAAAAAAGAAAAAAAAAAAGGAAATAGAGGCAGATAGAGCCAGAAAATTAATTAAATCCTGAAGAAAATGCGTTCCAATTAAAGACTCAATCTTTTCAGCTTATTAAAAAGAACACTGAGATTATCTGGAAGGACTGACACAATTTGGACGTGCAAATGCTTCTGAAGGGGAACACAATGGATAGGAAACAGCTGTCTAGTCTAGCAGAGAGACTAGCAGAAGAGCCAGTCACTAGAGGATGAAGCTAGATGAGCTTCGTTACAAACTGCATGCCACATCCTTTTTTCTTTTACATCAGAGCACAGTGTTGAGAGAAATTACCAGAAGGGTCTCAGTTTGGTGGTGCCTTCAGCAAAACACTGGATGGCTGCGGAGGATGAGCAGCAGTTGCATGCAAAGACCGGCTGTGGGCTCCTTACCAGCATAACTGGATGACTGCAATGGCCCACGCCGCACAGGAAACCACAGTCAACGATTTAACTGCCCTTAAACTGAGCAAGCTCAGAAGCACAAGGCAGAAGAATATCAGCGATCTGAGCAGAGAAGCACTTTTTACATGGAGAGCCATCAGGGGTGCAGGTCTACCTACAGTGCAGTGAGGCACGGTGAGGGGCTCTGGAGAAGGCCTCGTGAAGCAGCTGCCTGCCAACACCGGGAGCGGAGGCTCACTGCACCTCCCTCAGGGCCAGAGGCTCAGGACAGGGCCTCATGAGGCGGTCAGAGGCCGGCAGCCATCTCTGGCACCGCAGGCTCGCTCTGCGTGCCGCAGCTTCAGGCTGACGCGCTCCTCCAAGCGCAGCCCGCTCCTCTCAACGCTGCCTGGAGGCTTTGAAGTTGCACAGACACGAAGACAGATGTGCTGCCGCCTAATTAATTTCAGTTTGACGTTTTATTTACGGCTATGCGATGTGGTTACGCTTTCATCGGCTTTGTGGATGTGACACCTCTAACTTGCCAGCTATTGACTTCAAGCCGTTCCGCACGCAGGTAGCCTGATTCTTTCGACTGCAGTCATAAGGATGGTGCAGCCCAGGAAATGCAGCAAATTGCAGGGAGTTGTTGCCTAGGGTGGATTTCACCAATTAAAACGGTCAAATATTGGACACAGAAACACAGCTATGTCATATCCTGCATATTCATCTCTCTGGGTAATTAGCTAGATAGTATCAGCGTGACATAAAAATACCACCCAAGCACAGGAGAAGAATTAGAATTCTCTCTTCCTTTTTCCTTGAGAATTACCTTGATTAAGGAAAAACGCTTTCATTTTTAGGCGGACTTTCTTGTGCCAAAGAGAGAGAGTGCCAACAGAGAATATAGTTGGAAAGTCAAGCAAAAGAGAACTACGTACCACGTTTGGCATGTGGTGACAACAGAGGTCATTCTTAGTACAGATTGTTAATTAAAGGGCTAACAGTTTTAAAATTTGTGAGATAGCCTGAAGTAAAACCACACAACGCTAGAAGCCTTGTTAAAGTAGGTTGTGCCCAGACCACGTGCTATAGAACATGTTCCATGCTCCTGGCCCCAATGATCTCCTCAGAGACCTGCCCAGGAAGTGCAGTGACCCTTTTTTGGCTTCAGACCTGCACTTCCTTCTCAGGAAGACCAAGGGTGGGGAGGTATAGAATATATCTCCAGCCTTTCAAGCCAAGCTCTTTGAAGTGTGCTCATGGGAAAGATTAATTCATTACCTATGGACGCAAGCCTGCACCAAGCCTTCGGAACATTTACTTTTCTGTTCCAGGATGTGGGAACACACAGCCTAACCCAACTCCTATCCCCTCATGTACATGCAGCCCATCCCTCGCTATGGCTGCCATCTACAAATTAGGGAAAAAAATGCATTTGTCTTACTCTGCTTTGCTACTGGGATTTGTGGACAATGCCAAACCTTGGACTCCTACCCCTGAATGACCATGAGGGTCCATCTATGTGCGTTGTAGAGATATAAACAGATGCATGGATATTCCTTAGACAGGACTGAGGAACGGCCCAAGTTCATCCCCATTTACGATCACTCCTTAACTGTGATCGCTTACATTCCATGGTTTTGGCTTCTGCCAATCAGCACTCTCCTGGAGAATGCCCAGTCATGGCCAAAGGACTGCACAGACTACAGACTGTCCCCAGCTAGTTGTATGCATCTAGTGTTTGCTTGGAAGAAAAGAACTTAGATGTGCAGATGTGACTCATGATTGTCAGGTGGCCTTACTGATCACAAAATGTGCCATGATCGCTTTTAAGCAGCAGCTGAGACATGGTTGGAAGGGTGATAGAAAAACCCACAAGTGTCTGTTGCTATAGCCGGACCTTGATTCATGTGACCAAAATTTATGTATCTAGTAGGTAGGTTTTTAATCTCCCACAGCAAATGGTAGAGAAAAAGATAGCCAGACATGGACTCAGCCCATTTATCTTCTATACCTATTTTTATATGGGATGAATCACCCTTGTGAGATGTCTGTCTCTCTTGACTAAATAGGCAGATGGGTTCTCAATGTTGGACACTTGACTTCCAGACACATAAATGTAGTATCTCTGTATGTACAGAGATTAGATTTAATGTTTCCAATGGGTCTGATCTACTGTTGTGCCTTCTTAAATCACTGTGAAGGCCAAGTTTCAGTTTTACTGAAACTAGATAGATACATCATTTTAAATATCCCAAACTGTTCTGGTTTAAGTAGTTTCAAGCTACCACTGTGGCTTTTGTTACTAAATGTATGCCCCTACACAGGTCTAATCCAATTTGTTTCCATCTACCTCTCCAACTCTTTTTTTCTCATGCAGGAGACCCAAAAAATAGTTATGCAATAGAGACAATACAGTCAAACCCATTTATCATTATCCACGTTGGCTGTAAAGAATGCTGATATTTGATAAAAGAAGACAAACATTGGTACAAACCCAGATTCCTTTCGATCATCATACACTGCTTAACTCTTGTTGGGAAAAGGCTTCGGTTTGAGAAATTATAGAGGTCAAAGCAGTATTTGTTCTTTCCCACATCGAACAAAGTGCAGTTAAATTCTGTCCTGTTGTCTCCTGGGTGAAGGGTGTTCTCATACAGCCACGCTGTTCTCAAACCAGGATGCCTGAGAGCCTCTTTATAGACAACAACTTTTCCACTGATAGAAGTGCATGGTGGTGAGACTACAAAGACCTGAACCAAAGTTCTGCACACTGCTTCTGGTGCCACAACCAGTCTGTATCCAAATTTGTGGAGATCTATGGGTCCCATAGAGGCAATAACAGAACGTGTTTCTAATGATTTCAGTAACACAGTGATGTACGTTTCTTGACCAACATGTGGGCAGTCAAACTCTACCCACTGGGATCTAGAGAGTGGGATTCCTTTGCTAGTTCTAATGCCCAGCATCTCATCAGAGCTTACTCTTCCTAGTTCATAAAGTGTGCTGGTGAATATCACATCTAGTGAAACCAATGTCTTGTTCATGGCACACAGCTGTTCATTTGTAAAAACTCCAACCTGAAGGGAGCTCCCAAGCACCTCTGAAGTCTTGTTCAAATCAATGTGAAATACAGGCCATTCCACATGGAGGGTGGATGTTCTTCCTCTGCTTGCAGCAGCACTGCTATTATCACTAGGAGAGATCATTCTGAACAAAAAGTCTCCAGCACTTGTGAAATAGGAACATTCAAACTCTACCATCCCCCGGGACTGATTTGCTGGAAGCTGTTTTCTTGCAATGATCTTGTTGGTGTTGGCATCCAGCAGTAGGATGGACAGGTTCTCTACTGTCTCATTACCACTGTAGTAGTGGTATTCCACAGAAACTGTGTCGTTGCTGAAGGCTACATGACCTGGGTGCTTCAACAGGAGGTCCTCCACTTCACCAAGAACTGAAATGAAAACAGGTTAACAACAGCATTAAGAATCAAAGCAGCAGCCAACTGCTTATGAAACATAAAGAAGAAAATATGTATTTATGAAGTGGATATTTAAGAAATGGCTGTTAAACTCTTAAATGTGAATGAATCAGTTCACTAAAAAAAAGGTCCTAGCTAGAGCAGTTATAGCTCACCTTTCCTTTGTGCAGGGACGTGATCTGCAAAAGCTCAAAGTCCACTGTAGCAACATGTTTAGGAAGGAAGGTTAAAAGAAGGTTTCTCAAATAAAAGCAAAAGATGTACAGAAAACTTCAGTTCTAAGGATAGACCATGAAAATCCTCAACTTCCCTTCACTTGTAGACTCTTATAGTCCATTTCACCATGGTCAGCTGTTCTACCTTCTTTAGTGGTAATGCAGTAAAAAACCATAGTAGTTTCTTAATACAGAAACATGAAAAATATCCCTCAAATTAAATAAGATAGTAAATCTGCATGATGCTTTTTGAAGCCTCTTCTCTTGCTCTGTCTTATGAATCTTTCATTTTGCTCATTTGCATCACAGACACATGAGTGAAAGGGCTGAAAATAACAGTGATGGTGACTGCAGCACTTTTCTTGTCTCAGATGTGGTGCAACATGTCTAAATGACATCATTTCATAATAAATGGCACAGTCTTTTTAGATGCACTTCTTGCATGACCATGTTTGTGCAAGTTGCCAAATTATCCCGAGACATGCTGTAACTAGTGGGGATAGATGATATCTGAAGCATTGGATTGGGAAGATCACATTCCTGTTCTCAGCTCAGCTAGTTTTTCTGTATTGCCTGAAACTTAAGGATTTCAGACATTGACAGGTTACCTGAAAAATGGGAACTACATACACCTATCCCAGATACAGAATGTGCTGTGAGACATCTCTATATAATAAAGTGTCTGGAAAAGGGCTTCTGAGTCTTGGATGGAAGGTGCTCTGGGAGCATAAAACCTCAGTTAAAGCAATCCTTTCATAAGCAGTATCAACTAACAGTACTTCAACTTGTTAAATCTGTTACATATGTCTTAAGATTACCTCAAAGAAAGCTTTGCTGGAAAAACACTGCAAGTGCCAAAGCAAGCACTCGGCATTTAGGAGTAGCAGGACTCATCTTACAGAATACTAGACAGCTACTACTGTAAGCTTCAGTTTGAGTTTGTCACCTTGGATTCACTTTCCTGTCAACAGAAAATGAGTTTCAGGAAGAAATTCATCTGACCAGCTAAGGCCATTTACGTCAGGGTGAGGCACAGCGTACACTACTAAGACCCACCAGCTATAATGTGGTTAAAATAACCAGCTCTAACCACATCCATAATGTCTGAATGAAGACTGTATGCACAGCCTACATACATAAATCACGTATATACTCTTACATACATGTATTGTAAGTCAGTCTTTCATCTGAGTGACTCAATACTACTTTTTTGCACAAGATTCTGCCTCATTTGGCAGATGGATAATGCTTGTTACCAGAGGGTCTTTTATTCTCGTTCTTCCTTGGGTGGTCCCATGTATTATTGACTGTGCACCGTTCAAAATTCACCTTGATAACACAGAATTATTCATTTTCCCCATGGATCCTGCTATTGTGCTCTTATCATAGTATATTAGTGTATTAGAAATATTAATGAGTTTATCCCTGCAATGTTCCAGAAAGATGAGTAAATGTCACTATTCTTGTTTAGAGTGTTAGGAACCAAGGCAAAGACATAAAGGTGAAAACTGTCAAATATTGACTAAACACAAGAATATGTGAGTGGAGAGCCCAGTATATGCAACTCGAGGGCCTGTTACTATAAGCATGGGGAAATCTGCTGGCCTGGGCTGAAGCATGCACAGTATTGTGTGGGGCTGGCAAGAGGAACTGAACGGACATGGAACATGTTTGACCATTTGGAGAACTTCATTGCAAACTCATCTGCAAGGACTTAGATATGGACCAAGTCCAAGCAAACCTCCATACGGGGAACAAAAAGTATGTCCCAGAGCATCATGAAGTTTTGACAGCTGTGTTACAGTTTCCCAGTGAAATGCTTGCAAATTGCTGGGTTTTTCTTGATTTGAACATGAGCAAACCTACATATTTCTCTATAAAGGACTTGATCAGATTCAACTTGGCTGAAGTGTTTTAAGAGAAAAACAAATCAGACCATAACAAAACCTCAACATGAAAATTTTCAACATCAAGCTTCAAATTTTCAAGAAAAACATTTGTGTGATAGTAATGAAAAGCACCGAGAGAGAGACCAGGGGTCTGCCATGTAGCTCTCATCAACCCTCATTTGGATTGTTGGAAAGTGAGGAAAGCAAGTATTACTGGAGGACGCCTTTACAGCACTGCAGAGTTCTGCCTGGTGCACTGCAGGTCACAGAATCATTCTCCCATCTTCATTTAATAGCAAAATTTGCATTTCTAGGTGTCCCATGTAACAGTTTTCTGCAAAAGGCCACTCACAGTCAGCAAAAGTGAGCTTCCACTGCGTGCTCCTTCAACTGCCCTCCAGCCTACTGCATGTGAACATCTCTGTCATAAGCCAAACCTCGGCCCCAGGGGCAGTTTTCAATTTGTATATTTTTAGTTGTCACTACAATTTTCTCCCATTGAATGGAGCTTGGCTGTGGCACCAACCAAATGCCACAGTGGTCTCTGCAGGAGCTCCCTCTTAGAAAGATCAAAAGGAAAACCCTGTTTTGTTGAAGAGTGAGTGGCATGCTGTTCTGATATTTATTTATTTTTAATTATATTTAAGCCAACTTGGGTTGTGATGTTGGCTTGTCAGCAACCAGTAGCCCAGGGCTATGAAGAAAAAGCACACCAGAAAAACCAGTAAGAAATGAGAATACAGTTTTGTTGTATGCCTTTTTTGGTTTGGTTTGGTTGTTGTTTTTATTTTATAGCATTGCGGTAATTTATATTTAATCATTTAAAACACACTTAGAACAGTCTTGGTGTAATACAGATAAGCATATGAAGGAAACAGTTATCTAAGAAGTGACTTGTATACACAAAATTAGAAGTTATTTTCTGAAGTATGGACTACTCTTCTTTAGAAACAAGGGAAAATATAATACAGCTAAAGTTTGCAACAGAGATTTAGCTGTTCAACTGCACCTTTTAGCTACTCACTCACCTTTTAACTACACACCCTCTATAAAGTTCTGGAATAATAGCTTTTACCTCTGAGTCAACTAGTTGTGAATGCCTACAGGACTGGCTCAGCAAGAAGCAGTGGATATCACAATCATTCACCTCCCTTCTTGGGTTAAGTGAACTTAATGTTATAGAACTATAGAATCACCAAGGTTGGAAAGGCCTCCAAGACCATCCAGTCCCATGGTTCACCTATCACCAAAATTTCCCCATTAAGCCGTGTCCCTTAGTGCAACATCTAGACATTTCTTCAACACCTCCAGGGATGTTAACTCAATCACCTCCTTTGGGCAGCCCATTCCAGTGCCTGATCACTCTTTCAGAGAAGAAATTTTTCTTAACATCCAACCTGAATCTCCCCTGGTGCAACTTGTGGCCATTCCCTCTAGTTCTATCGCTGGGAGAAGAAGCCAACCTCCACCTTGCTGCAACCTCCCTTCAGGCAGTTATAGAGAACTATAAGGTCTCCCCTGAGCCTCTTCTTCAGACTGAACAACCCCTGTTCCCTTAGCCACTTCTCACAACGCTTGTGCTCCAGACACCTCCACAGCCTTGCTGCTCTTCTCTGGTCACGCTCCAAGGCCTGACTGTCTTTCCTGAAGAGAAGGACCTAAAACTGAACAAAGTACTTGAGGTGTGGCCACACCAGTGCAGAATTCAGAGGTATGATCACCTCCAGCTCCTGCTGGCTGCACTGTTTCTGATACAAGCCAGGATGCCATTGGCCTTCTTTGACACCTGGGCACACTCACTGGTTCATGTTTAGCTGAGTGTCGATCACCATTTCCAGGTCCATTTCTTCCAGACAATCTTTCAGCCACTCTGCCCCAACCTTGTAGCATTACCTGGTGTTGTTGTGGCCCAAGTGCAGGACCCAGCGCTTGGTCTTGCTGAATTTCATCCCATCAGCCTCAGCTCAGTAGTCCAGATTCCCCTGTAGCACCTTGCTACCCTCAGGCATATTGACACTTCCTCCAACCTTGGTGTAATCTGCAGCCTTACTGAGGGTGCACTGAATCCCCTCATCCAGGTCATCAATAAAGATATTAATCAGGATGGGCTGCAATACTGACCCCTGGGAAACACCATTCATGATTGGCTGCCACCTGGATTTAACTCCATTCACCACCACTTTCTGTGCCCAGCCATCCAGCCAGTTCTTAACCCAGCAAAGGGTGCACCTCTCCAAGCCACAGCCTGCCAGCTTCTCTAGAATACCACTGGAGACAGTGTTGAAGGCTCTTCTGAAGTCTAGGTAGACTACATCAACAGCCCTTATCTTCACTGTATTTCCCGTTCAGTGCACCATTCTTAACTTTGCTAGTCAACTCTGTCTTGTTAAAATAACACATAGTACTAAAAGCAAGTGTCTTCTGTTAGACTCGAGTTCATCTAAAAGAGGGCAGTCCTAAATTCTTTATGTCTTCTCATGATCCCTTGTTCTAGATTGGAGGTGGAACAGACACCAAGGTGTCTGTTTTCTCACATATACAGGAAGAGCAAACTGCACACTTTCTTGGTCCATTTCTCTCCTTTGTAAGACATCTTCAGCCTTTTGATGCATGACCTACCTACTATCACAGCTCATGTCATAACTGGGAACTAAAACAGTTCTTTTTCCAGTTTCCCGTGCTATAGATATTTCAGCAATGCATGACTTCATTCTTTATCATGGTTTGACAACGTACTTCAACTGGGAGGTTAACAACTTTTAAGTTATGAATGTAATTTTTGAAAATATATGTATTATTTATAAATTAAGGATCTTACTTTCAAAATTTCTAAACTGCATGTTGACTCACTTTGCAAATCTACCTTCTATGCAGTACATTCTTAGAAAAGATAGATGCCATGCATAGTATGCCCCTCAGCTTGCAACCACTTTATAGCTAACCCAAACTAGATGTCCAGCTTCCATTGGCAGCTGAAGGTGAGAAGGAGGTGCTTTCCCATCCTTAGAATCTCAGGCTGTGGTTAGGTTGTAACTGCCCTCCAGATGTGCTGATCTGTGTGTGAACTACTCAAACAACACTCAGACTAATTTTACATGACCAAAATGGAATGAGTATGAATCCCATCCTTTGGATTCCTACACAGTCAGAGGAGGCAATACCCCTCCTGTCCTCAAAAGTTTTCTCTGAATTGGTGGGTGAAGTCCATCACATGGGGTCTCATTTAACCATAGGAAGTGACCTGCACTACAGATGGTCACATTTCATCCAACCACTGCAAGCTACTTTCATAGAAATGGGCAGTTGTACGCTGTGGTTCCTCCCACCTTGGTACAGACACTTAACTGATCTCTGATCTATCATCTACCATGCATTAAATGTTACCAAATACAAATCTCAGGAGAGAGCAGAGCTCCTACTACTGCTTCTGACACAGTTAGTCCCTTGATGAGGCCCACAGAAATCTGCTCACTTATCTTGCTTCCTTCACAGAGCAAATTCACAGCAGGAAATGTTCCTGCCACTTTGACACAGAGGAGCAGCTCATGAAAGCTGTCTCTTCCACCTACATATTACATAAGGCCTTGACTGCATCCTGGGCATATCACTGGTGGCTTGTGTGAGCAGTGATTCTTTGTGATTTTATTTCAGCAGACAAAATGAAAACAGCACTATCCAAAACTACTTTATGAATATGCAACTCACAGTTCCCCCTTGTAAGCTCCAATACTCACCGTAGTCACAGAGCACTACTAACAATAGATTTGAAAAATCTTTCAACATCTGTTTCATTCTGACCAGTGAGATCCCAGGTCCTTTTACTCCTCATGTCCTTCTTCAGCTCCAAAGTTCTAAAGTGCAGGCACTTTTTTCAAGAACACCTGAAAGATAAAAAATTACAGCTGCATTGACTTTGTTTCATAAAATGCAAGCAGGAAGACTACATCTGGAAAGAAAGAAAGAAAGAAAGAAAGACAAAAGCATTAATTAACTTTTTTCTCCCATTTATCCAACCACTATTAATACTGGATCAATGGATAAGTGCAACTATATTTCATCACAGAATAAATTTTCCCTCAGGATATGTCAACCTTTGAGTCACAACAACAAAGATAGGCCACAAGAATTTACCTTTGTACTGCAGAAACTGCTTTTGTGCATGTTTTATATTAAGATCAAGACTCCTTCCAATACTTGAAGGGAGAGTATAAACAAAAGGGGGAACGACTGTTTACATGGGCTGATAGCGATAGGACAAGGGGGAATGGTCTTAAACTGAGACAGGGGAGGTTTAGGTTGGATATTAGGAGGAAGTTTTTCACTCAGAGGGTGGTGATGCACTGGAACAGGTTGCCCAAGGAGGCTGTGGATGCCCCATCCCTGGAGGCATTCAAGGCCAGGCTGGATGTGGCTCTGGGCAGCCTGGTCTGGTGGTTGGTGACCCTGCACATAGCAGGAGGATGAAACTGGATGAGCATTGTGGGCCTTTTCAACCCAGGCCATTCTATGATTCATGACAGCAAAGTAACAAGTATTCTGTACAAAACGTAACTCACCTCAGCACGTGTAGACACTAGAGGTTTATTGCTGCTACATAATTCAAACTGTTTTCAGTAATCTATTGTTATCTCACTGGCTCTATATAACACATTACGTTATCTGCCTGGCTCTATAAAAGACCCATAACTGCTTTCTCTGTCTTTCAGATCACTCAGCTGTGTGATCCCACGTGCCAGTCTGTATATTTTTAGCTATCTTCTCCACAATTTTTTAAGTTCACAATTCCTGTAGCATTGTCTATGCAAACAGAAATAGAGATCCTTTTGGAAAGTTTCAGGATCTTACTTCAATGTGCTCTAAAGCAGTCATCACGAGTCTCATAACAATCACATAAAACAGGTTGGAAGAGAAGGACTGCAGCAAAACCAACAGCATGCTACAGAAACAGAAGTCACAGAGTATCTACAAAGAGAAAATCTAGCTCAAAGCAGCCACTCTCAAAATATGAGAATTGCTCTCTTTTGCATTGCAAAGGAGTGTCAGAAAGTCAGACTCACTGCACTCACCATCACTCAAACAAGCAGGAAAGTTCTTGTTCAGTGGAGTTTACAACCTAATTTTATGAGAGAAAACTGGCACGGCAGCAGACATGGTGGAACATAAACATGAAACACAGGGCTATGGCAAAGATGAGGTGCATCTTCAGGAATCACAAAAATAATGAGGTATTTCAACAGTAGCACTGTTAGCGCTGCTGACCTACGACACAGCCGATGCATTCTTTGAAAGCTTGTAAAATTGTTTTAGCTTCTTCTCCTGTCTTCTCTATGCCAATTTGCTCTCTGATTTCTCTCATGCACATAATTCAAGTGGCTGGAGAGAATAATTTCTGTGGCTTGCTCAGCACAGGCCCATTGTAGCAATAGCTGTACCCATCTGACGAAGAATATCATCGCCTGCCCACAGGCCTGACAAGGCTCCAGAATTAGATAGCAGCAGCCATACCCCAAACACCCACATCTGATACACTGTAAATTACCAGAAGACAAACCTCCTGCCTCCACACAGGGGCAGGCTGCTGGCAGAGCCACGGCACAATCACTTAAGGAAAACAGAACAAATTAAGCAGCCCTGCTTGAAATTTCACTTCACTAAAGAGGGAAGAAAGATGCTTTATGGGCAACAGTCGTAGCCGTGCTGAAAGCTTCAATGGATCCTTTCCATCTCCAGCTTTCCCAGCTATGCATTTTTCAAATGTGTTTCACAAATACCGTTTTTAGACCATCGCATACCGGCAGGTAAAATCCACATAATCCTAATTGCAGCCTCACAAGTGACACGCTGCAGGAAGAAACAAAGCAACAGAAGAAAGAACACATCCTAGGGAAGAAAGAAAGAAGGCTGAGCGGGAGAATTCTCCTGAGACAGCGGCCATACATTTTAATTCACACATGTCAGGCTGACAGATGGAAGAGCAGCGTGGTTCACGAGATGGGGCACTGGAGGGACACACAGGAGACCTGACTTCTGCTCCTCTTCCTGCCTCCATCAGATGCACCATGTTAGCAAATCACAGCATTAATCTGCTCCTCTCCTCCCATTCCCCTGTGCTGTATTTATACCAGAAACTGTGCAGGGTGGAAGCTTTTTCTGGCCACGTCTGTGGACGCAGCCCAGCACCTCTGGGCGTTCCGTTCACCAGACCATAAGCCCTCTTCCCTTTTACTCTTTCATCTGTGTTATCTGAGTTTGCTTAGGAAAAGGCTCTGGCAGGGTGCACAGGCAACACCCAAGCTCAGACGAGTGTTTGAACCAGCACCAAGACTGACTTCCAGAGACTTCACCCAGGTGCCTGGGAAAGCCTATGCTGGGGCTGAGCCCTGTGTAGCCCTGCAGCCCCTGCAAGGCCCTGGAGCCCTGATCCAGCACAAAGCTGGCTGCCCACCCATCCCTAGCACTGCATTCCCCCTCTCCCTTCACTCTTTTTTCCCCTATGTTTGCTCCTCTCAGACTTTCTCTCCCTCCCCATCTCAGTTTTGTGCACACATGGCACTGACCTCTGCACCTGATTCACGTTTCTGCCTTTCAGCCTTCCCTCAGCCATCTTCTCCCTTGCACTCTTTTCTCCTTCGCTTAAAAATTCCCCATCCTTGCCTCCTGCCCCCTGCTCCACTATTGCTCCCTTTCTAGTACTCACATAAAATCTTGCTTTTCAAGACAGACAGCGTATCTTAAATAGTTTCTTCTCTATGCAGATCTTTTTACCTCGAGTTCATTAGCTTGATGAGATGAAAAATGATGGAACAGAGAAGGCTATCAGACTTTGAATAATTGGCTTTTTTAATTTATTACTCTGGTGGACCAGCAGGGACTGAGGCTCCATTGTGTGAGACGCAGCAGAGGGACAGAAGCACAAAAAGATGCTTTCTGCTCCAAGAGACGGTGAAAGGGGCCAACTGGAAATAGAAGACTTCCTCTCCAAAAGGAATTGGAAATGGCAGATAAGGAGGGCATAAGCCATAAAAGCCTTGGAGATGAAGAGCAAGAGGTCTGCGTGTAGCACAAATGGCAGGAAAACACTGAGTCCTTCCTCTGCCACAAATACCCTTTAGATGTCCCTGTTCCTTGCTGGGAAGCTGTACTAGACGACCTTTAAGGGTTCCCTCCAATTCAAATCATTCCCTGATTCTACTCTACTCTACTCTGTTCTACCCTAGCCTAGCCTATTCTATGTTATTCTATGTTATTCTATTCTATGTTATCCTATTCTATTCTATTCTATTCTATTCTATTCTATTCTATTCTATTCTATTCTATTCTATTC